TCTGGATCGGTAATTCAAATGTCACTTCTACTACTTACTAGCTAAGAAACCATCAATAAATTAATTAAATCTCTTCCTCCCAGGTATGGATTTAAAGAGATAATTCATAAAATATTCTTAGCTTAGTGCCTGGCATATTAAGTGCTCAACAAATAATTACAACATTCTTGATCTCTCTTTGCTATCATGCCTTCACTTGTAATCAACTGGGCACTCAATACGTACTAATTTCCTGTATATGGATTTTCTGCACCTCTTTCACTTGCACACTTTGTTTCTATATTCTGGCATGCATCCAAAGATTACAAGATAACTTTTAATATTAATCCTTAAGACCAGGAACATCTTGGTAGTGGGAACCAAAAGTCATATTCCTCTTACGTACTGGGCCTTACAATATTAAAAGAATCTTTAATGTTTATTGAATAAAGCTAAAAATTAAGGTAAATCTGATGCAAAAAGTCTCACAATGCATATTATATAAACACAAATTCTTTGAAGGTTATCTGTGACACTATTCTAATGGAGAAAGGGAAAAAACTAACAGGACGATTTTCTTCTGTTCCAGTAAGATATTCCTCAGTTAACTTTAGTTGAGGGTCTATTCTTTGGTGTTTCCAACTCTCATTCATTCAATAATATATAAACTCTAGGTATATGTCAACCACCACATAAGGTGATGAGAACATGGATAAAGGAAAACAGACATAGCAGAGCACAGACAAGTAAATAGAAAAATTACTAAATGGTATGCTATATAAATAATACCCAGCAGTGTTTGTTATACTAGACATGCTCCACAAATGCTGATTATACCCCATCCTCCTTTAATGTTGAGCACCCAGCAGCACTACTCCGGGGTGAGTACATCACATTGACAGTAATAATTTCATTGCTATCTTGTGTTTAGACTCATAAGTATATGCCAATCATGTCTGCCAACCAGACAAAAGTTTCCTGTTGAAAGTAAGTAATAGCCCTGTTTGATTGGATTTGCCAGCAAATTCATGCAGACACAGGCCCCAAAACATGACTGGCATTTTGTTAATCTTGAGCGAAATAAGGACTAGAAATATAGGCAAAGCTAGGTGCAGTAGTGCTCCCCTGTAGTCCCAGCCAGTGGGCGGCTGAGGCAGAGGATCACTTGAGACCAGGAATCTGACGCCAGCCTGGGTAGCATTAACAAGAACCTGTCTCTTAAAAAAGAAAGAAAGAAAAAGAAAAAAGAAGAAGAAGAAAGAATATAACTGGAACTGGCATAAAGATAGGTTTATATTTAGCTTTTATAGAGGAAAAACATAAAATAGAAAATTTACTAAGCCAGGCTTGCTGGTGCTTGCCTGTAGTCCCAGCTACTTAAGAGGCTGAGATGGGAAAATCGCTTGAGCCCAGTAGTTCTAGAACAGCCTGGGCAAAACAGCCAGACTCCATCTCTTAAAAAAAAGAAAAAGAAAATTTACTTAAGTGATCCTCTCTAAAGAATACTTTTATCTACAAAAATGTTCTGACTGATGCATTAATGGTATTATTGAGGAATTTAAAGTGTTACGACTCAGAAAACTAACATATTAACTCTCAGACTTCTAAGCAACGATTAACAGACTGAGGTAAGCTTTCATTGTATGACCCTATTCATAAGGTGACAAGTCATGCTTTACTGAAATGAAGGCATGTTAGTCACAACTCAGCCACAACTTTTGGATGTCCTTCACTGTAAGAAGAATATGGTTCTGTACCAATTTATGTAACATTTTATCAATGATCAATCCTTGTCTTTCACAAATATGACATAAATAGTATCCAAAATACAAGTTACCAAACCGATTGACAAATTGAAGTGGGGACTGGTGGGACTTGCAGGGTGATGGGGACATAAAATAATCTTCAAAGTCATTTTACCAGTAAGGAGGGTGGAGTGGGAATAGGGAGGAGATAGGGGGCAGGAATGATCCAGAACTTCTATATTTTCAGCTATGAGCAACATACTGATCCTAGAGATATTTACTCTAGACCATGAACAATAATTTCTAAGAAACGTGTGGCAAAGATGTGGAAACAAACCAAGTGTCCATCAATACGTGAGTGTATTAATAAAATGTGGTATATGCATACCACGGAGTTCTACTCAGCCACAAAAAACAGTGGTGGTCTAGCACCTCTTGTATTATCCTAGATAAAGCTGGAGCCCATTCTACTAAATGAAGTATCACAAAAATGGAAAAACGAGCACCACATGTACTCACCATCAAATTGGTATTAACTGATCAACACTTAAGTGCACATATAGTAACAACATTCATTGAGTATTGAGCAGATGGGAGGAGGGAGGAGATGATGGGTATACACACACCTAATGGGTGTGCACCATCTGGGGGATGGACACGCTTGAAGCTCTGACTCGGGTGGGACAAAGGCAATATATGTAACCTAAACATTTGTACCCCTGTAATATGGTGAAATTAAAAAAAAAAATGTGTGTGTGTATATGAGAAAGACAAAAAGAGAAAGAAAAACTATTCCTTAAGTATCCAAAGAAATATATACACTGTTCTGAGAATATGCGTATTACTGATTGGAAGAGAGTATTTTCTTCTACCAATATTCTACCATTCTCCCTCCATTATTAGTTGACTTTTTACTATGTACTGAGCACAGTGATGAGCCCTTTACATACATTATCCATTTTCTTTTTTAATCCTATAGCAAAGCTTTGAGAGAGGTATTAAGATCATCATTCATATTTTACAGATGAGCGAATATTCTACCAATAATATAGGCCAGATCCCAAATTTAAAAAATTTTATCTGGGCCGGGCGTGGTGGCTCACGCCTGTAATCCTAGCTCTCTGGGAGGCCGAGGCGGGCGGATTGTTTGAGCTCAGGAGTTCGGGACCAGCCTGAGCAAGAGT